AGTTCTACATCTAATGTCTTTAAAATATTGTATTTCTGCACTTACCTACATCACTGAGTCTGGATGCTCCTCCAAAAGTCCAAAAGTGAATCTCATTGACTCACTGCTCAAAAATGTCCAAACAGATTCTGACAGACACAACAAGCTGAACTCTGGTGGGAAGACAAAGTTTATAGCAGCTTATCGCCCCCTACTGGAAAAGGGTGAGAGAGACTATAAACTGATATGTTTGCAGTAAATGTATCTGCTGATGAGTTAAACTACAGTGTTGATTAATAATGATTCATATGCGGGAAGCTGGTATTCAGTGACACATTTCGTTGTAATGGTTGAATCATAAATATGAAAAGCAAAAAATAAAAAATGATAAAGTAAAAAGTCATCTTAAAAAAGAAAACAAACAAGCAAACAAAGCTTTCACTTTGTACTGCGATACATGGTTGTAGTGTGATTTTAACACCAAAGCACAAAAATTTTGAGCAAATTAAAAGAACAAATAACACTATTTATAGTAATATAATGAAAGAAGTATCTGCAGTGATGAACTGTGTGAGTTACTGTATGTGAAAGACAGGAAGTGCAGCTGATAGAAGAGGGTTTTGCATGATCACAGCTCCACACACTTTAAGAGTGCTGGTGTGATCAACACTGGAGACTTCAGTCCTTTCAGACTCACTCACACACAGCACAATGATGACCACACTGATTCTACTGCTGACCACTCTGACCTTCTTTCCTCAAGGTGAGAGCACATTTATTTCTACACTCTTCTGAAGTGTTGAATCTGATAAGAATGTAATTTCAGTACAAACACTGTTTTACAACCTTTGAGATTCTATAATTTTTTATTTTGTAATTTTTTCTCTCTTTCTTCAGTTTCCCATCAAGAGGTTCAGTCTCCTGAGTTTCTGTCTGTTGAAGCAGGAAAGAGTGTCTCCATTAGCTGTACTGGAACTAGTGGAGCTGATGATTACATGAGTTGGCACCTGCAGAAACCTGGAGAAGCTCCTAAACTCCTGATTTATAAGGCAAACAGACGTGAGTCTGGAGTCTCAGAACGATTCAGGGCTTAACTTTCAACTGACTATCAGTGGAGTCCAGCCTGAGGATGCAGGAGATTATTACTGTATGGGGGTATATAGTGGTCCAGTGTTCACACAGTGAAAAAGTGTCATACAAAAACATCCCTCAGGCAGACTGTACAGAGACTGCACTGCTGCAGCTGCATCTACTGCAGGTGTTGAGGGAGATGAGGACACAAGTCACAGAGTAGAACTGCACACACACAAATAAACAATGTTAACTTTCATTTCCACACCTACACAGCTAGTAGAGCACTTACTGGGTTTGGTGTAAGAAATATTTAGGAAAAAAAAAAAAAAACTCATCATTCTCCAGATGTAACATTTCAAAAAATTACACTACATTACTGTTTGGATTAATAAAGGTAAAGAGACCCCATAAGAAAGACAACAATGAACTGGAAGGGTCATGTGTCATTTTCTTCATTTGTTTTCTAAAATGAATGCCCTCGCACAAGGGGACTCTTTTGCAACATTAGATTCCTCCCTCTGGAGAAACTGTAAACTTGTTCAGCTCGGATTCGTAACATAGCTGTACAATCAACACAATAAGACCCAGAGAAAATAAATACTGTTAGCGCCCGTACCATAAGCCAAGAAATATGTTTTAATAGCGAGGAGGTGTCACACTCAAATCACAAATTTGATGACTTGAGACTCGACTCAACAAGATTATAAAATGACTTGCACTAAAAGCTCAGACTTGAGCCTGATGATTTAAAAAGACTCGAGACACAAAGTGGATGAAACATGGAAAGACCTCTGACTACAGACAGGAGTCTACACAGCCGTTTACTTTTCATGTGAATGGATCCGTTTCCTGCTGTAGGCATGACAGAACTGTATTTTATCCAAATCTGACATGCAGCAACGTCCTCAAATGGCTGATACTGTGGTTATGGCTTAGCTTATTTTATTTAGGAAGTGAAGTGTGAGAATTCAAGCTCACCTCCATTAGCTAGAAACAAGCGAAGCATTAATAGCATCAATCAGCTCCCTCACTCAGCACTTAAACTCCAGTCTTACTGGAGAGCTCACCAGGCAAACTTACCATTTTCCTCATAGTAGCAGTTAAACAAAAGAAACAGAGCTCTTTCTATCTAAAACAAGAGTTAAAACAGGCGCAACGTTCTCCAGCTTCATATTCAAATTTTCTGCTTCACCTTAACTGGTACAGCAGTTATATACTGACACCTGACTGTTGCACCATTTAAGGTAGAACAGAAAATTTGAATCAGGATTTCAGCTTTGTACATTCATCATCATGTTGCTGTCTTTTCTGTAAACGTTGTTTAGCACCGTTCAGCAAAATCATTTTTGGTTTCTGTTGTTTGTTTTTAAAATTCAATTTAATCTGTTGTTTTTAGTTTGCTGAATTAGCTTTAATGCTGAGCTAGTTTAATTTCTATTCTACGCTCCCAAAAATCATTAAACAATTATTATCTTCAACCTTTTTTTATTAAGTTTAATAGAACTTTTAAAAGTCTTATCATGTGTAAATACGTACTCTTCGTGTATACCATTATGTCTGTCATGGTTATCCGTGTGTCTTGGATTCTGTAATTTACCTAAAAAGGCAGAAATAAATACAGAAATACATAAATACCTAAATATTATTACTTTTTTGGTGCCAAATGTTGAAATGACATTAAATTGCAAAATAAAATGAATGGTGACAAAGTTTATGGCTCTGGATTTCACTTCACACTTGCCTGTACTGACTTGGGACCTGCTTCGACTGTCTTAATGTTTTGCCCATAAACTAGACATTAACCCCTTACTTTGGTCCCAAAGTTTGATCACACACGTCTATTACCTAAGAACAGCTCTGTCAGTTTGCACTGGAAGAGAGTTACTGAATAATAAGACATAGTATGTAATAAGCCTGGGATTTTAAGGGGTTGAAGGGTTTTGAATGTTTGAATGCCAGCTAGCTGAGTTAGCTAAACTTGATTAACAGGGGCTAGTTAGCCTCAAGCTTTTTCTCTTTTGAGTTGAAAAAACTTTTTTTCTGGATAAAACATTAAAATTATGGACTGTTTTATAAGAACAGAAGATTTGTCATGTATATAAACACAATACATACTGTAATTTCACAGAATTTAAAGATAAAGCAGTGTTGGAATTGTCTGTGAACTTTACCGAAAATGTACCAATAATTTATTGAAAGCACATTTTTTTCACAGTTTTCTTCTTCTTCTTCTACTTCTTCTTCTTTTTATTATTATTATTATTACTATTATTATAATGTGGAATGAATTATTGTGCCATAAATGAGGTACAGACAGAGAAAGAAAAGTGGCAGGAAGAGTGCTGGCTCAGTTTACCCATTCTGCAGCCATCGTCCATGTTTGTGGGATTCAGCCGCTAAAGGGATGCTGCAGGTCAGTGTCCCTCCCTGTTTCTGTGAAAGAAGCTGCTGCTCTGTTCTTTTTTGTCCAGCAGTGAACCTCTTCCCTGATCAAAGAACAACTGAGTTTATTTTCTTCTCTTCACCTGACGCTCTGCAAGAGTCCAGCAGACCTGAACGAAAATCCAGATATTTGCTCATGTCAGGTTTACACCTCAATCACAAAGATGTCTGTCTTCTCTAGTGGAGCTTTCTTGGCAGTTACATTGTTTAGACATTGTTTGTCATGCAGCTGTTTAAAAAGAATGAGATGAGTGAAATGACTGGCTGAGAATTTCCTATCACTATGTATCCTATCCTATTACTGTTCACTCACTCATTTTATACACTGAGCTTGTGTCTGTACCTGAACAAAAACAGTGCGTTTTAACAGACTCTCATGACTTTGTGCCTTGTAGTTACGCTAGATTGTTTTTGTCAAGAAAACAGAATCTTTACTCTTAAAAAGCTGAGACTTTAGCACTGATTCTGCCTGTGGCACTTTAATGTTTACAATTGTATTGTGCTCAGAAGAATGAGGTAAATGAAGTTGAGAATGGACTATTTATTTCTAAAGCATTAATGTGATCCACAAGTTGCTTTACAGACAGAATCTTTAAATCAGGTTATAAAGGTCTTTCTCCTCTGTCTTATTGCACAGCAGCACAATGTGGTGGAAGTTGTGACATCAGTTTTAAGCCTGTACTGTAGCACTGAAGAAAATCTGAAGCAGGTCATCACTTGTGTTGACTTACAAACACTGTCTGGTCATCTAACTGTTCAGTTATCGTCAGTTTGACTGCTCAGTTTTGTTTTCTGCAGTCAGGTAGATGATTTTCATGCTGAAGTCACTTTGCATTAGCAGCTCATGCTTCAGTGCTCTGGGAGAGTTTATAGCTCTGTCAGTTTAACAGTTCATGACTGAGAGCTGATCTACATGATCACACATCCAAAAGCCATCATGACTTTAATCACCATCTTCATCTGGATGATTGTTACATCTACTTTGGGTAAGAACATTTCTATCAGTTACATTTGATTTTTTTTTTTTCTTTAGTATTCAGTAAATATTTCATTTTTAAGAGCATTTTATAATAAAGTACATACATGTAATTATATTACAAAACATTTATATTCACACCATTTCTTTATCTTTGCAGGCTCTTTGGGGCAGGTTGTGGTCACTCAAACTGCAGCTAAATCAGCTCAGCCTGGTCATTCAGTCACTATTGACTGCAAATCCAACACTGTAGTTTATCGGTATGAGCAAGGGACAACTTCCAAGGGCCGTTATTTTACATCCTGGTACCTTCAGAAACCTGGAGAAGTGCCAAAGCTTCTGATATATTATTCAGATGAGAGAGAATCTGGAGTTTCCTCAAAATTCAGTGGTGGTGGAGGTCATCCTTCATCTGGAGGGAATGGTCAGGACTTCACTCTGACCATCAGTGGAGTCCAGGCTGAAGATGCTGGAGATTATTACTGTATGACTTATCATGAGATCAGTGGTAGCTATGTGTTCACACAGT